TACTATATTAATCATTTTCGTCCAACCATACACAAAATTGATTATTGTTACGGCACTAAGTTTAGATTTCTCAAGAATAAATTTAAAATGTAAAATTTTATTTAATTTAAGATATTGGAATTAACTAAATGAATTAAAATACGTGCCGTTCAAAAAAAATATATATATATATATATAAAGTTTTTATCAATTAAGTTTTTTTTTCAATTATCATGGGTATTACATGCCAAATTTTTTTTTTCAATTATCAATAAAGTTTTAATAATAATATATTAAATTTTGTTAAACTAAAATGGAATAAATGGAGTATTAGATACCAATTCAACGAAGTTCTAATGGGTATTTCTTAACCTTAAAGATGTGTATGCAAAATATTTAAAATTTAAAATAATTGCATCGTGAATTAACAATAAGCTGCTCCTATTGAATGAAGTGTTTCATGTTTGACAATTGAAACCCATTATCAAACACACACAGAAAGAAAACGTAAGACTAATAACTCCATCTCAAAATATACAAAAATAAAAACCATGAAACCAAATTTTATTAGATAATAAATGCACCAATGTGTGACTAACTGGACCCTGCAAACCAAAGGAAAATGTTACACCTACACTTGTAAATTGCTTGACCATGTTTAGGTTTTGAAAGAAACTTCTCCACCACGTAATTAAAGAGATGAAGGAGGCATAGGAATCCACCATTTGAGTTGTTTCAGTTTATCTCATCCACAACTCAGAACAGTAATATGAATAAAAAGTATGATTTCATGAGAGCAGAACTGATCGACTAAATATTCATTTAACTTGTATACCATAAGGTAAACTACTGTGACACACACAACCACTTGGAGAAGTTCTCAAACTTTCTACAATCACTGTCTGAGATCATAGTCTGATACCATGCCTAGCCTCCTGCCTTGATTGCTGCTGCCTCCTCCTGAAAGATTTGACAAAAAATAGAGGAACAAATAATAGAGTTAACTGAATAATATCTTGGAATTTTCAAGACCAAACTCTAAAAGCAGGTAGTAGTTGGTATAATAACAAGTAATAACATCTGAAGCGAACAGAAATGCACTAAATTATCAGTTGTTATTGTGGCTTGCAGCTTGCGTAGCCCATATATAATATTACCTACTAAACATTTAGTGTTTAGATATGAAATGAAAAACAGAAAATGTTCATTAGATAACTTCCTGAATGACTGAATCACTAGTAAAATGGATGCCTAGATTGAAATGTATAGATAAACATTTAGCAAAAGATCAAGGAATACGATACAAACTTGGCACAAAGAGAAATGAGTAAATGAAACTTCCTCTTCAACTACTTTCCGAGAAACGCCTTGGCTAATAGATCAAACCACTTGAATTTCTCAAATAGCATACTAAAAGTAAGAAAGCAAAGAAAACAAGTAAAGCAAGTATGCCAACAGTGACAGAGAAACACAAATGCAGGAAACACCTTAAATAGTTAAATGTAATGCAGGTAGAAATGTAAACCACTAATTACATATAGTCATCACGCTCATCTAACAAATGATTTCTTTAACTTCAAACTAATTCTGATGTTGTACAAAAACTAGAAGAAGGCGATACCTTAGTGATGGGCTTTCTCTTCTTCTTGAGCTTCTCCTTCTTGGCCTTGACACGCTGTGCCTCGGCAAGAAGAGCCATCCTCCTCGCAGTCTTTGCATACGGATTCAGCTTCAACATGGTATTGAGATTCTTCAATGGGTTCTTCTTCCTGCTGCGTGCCCTCTTGACCTCCTTATTTATTGGCCGCACCACAGACTGCACCTTATCTGAGTTGATAATCCTAGCCAAGTCAGCATTCACCATCTTAGGTCGAGGCAGCACGTACCCCTTCTTCTTCTCCGAGGGCTTCTCGAACGACCCATATATTGAATCCAGCTTCTCAAAGGCAGACTTGGTCCAGATAATGAACCTCCCAGCTTCTCGAGCGCTTCATGGTGACATTGATCTTACGGTGCCAGCGACGCCAGATAATTGTAGGGGCGAACATACGTCCACCACGACACATGTTTCCGAAGGCACCCTGCCCCGCGCGATGTGTACCGCCACCTGGAACACGAGGGATACATGACACAGCGCGGCCAGTACCTCAGGATTCCGCGGATGTCTGATGACCGGCGCGCTTGGAGACAGCGTAGGGCTGGCGGCGGTTCTTAGAGATATTGGAATGGACGAAGCTGACAATATCAGGTCGGATCGAGGCCTTCATGACATCGGGAAGCTGAACGGTGGCTGTGGCGTCGGTGGCCATGTCACCTTCGAGGGATAGGACGGTGACGAGAGGCCGAGAGGCAGCAGCTGCCGCCGCCATTGGTGAACGTCGGCGAGCAAGAGCGTGGAAGGGAAGAAAAATAATGAACTAGGGTTTTGAGGAGGCGGGGAAAGTGTACGGAAAATGCTAAGGTTGGTTCAGGGTTTCTCGGATTTTGAGATTTTCAGTGTGTCGGTCTAATCAATGTACAGATAAGTTTCGGGCCCAATATTAATTTGTTTCATCCAGGCCTTGCTTTCAGACTGGGTTCATGTGGATTGTGACCTGATATGTAACACCTCATAGCCTAATAGGCCTGATTTGTTGAGGCCCATTATATTCGTGTTCTACAGATAAATTTTTTATTTTATAATTTAAATTATGTCGAAATATAAATTAAGTGTCATTAGATCAAAGAACAGCCCGAATGGGAGTTACGGGTCAAGTAGTTCAACCCCAAACCTTAAGGCACTTTTTTTTTTTTTTTGAACATGAAACCTTAAGGCACTTAAATTAATTAGTTAAAGTTTCAAAACTCATTAACATCTTAAAAAATCAGTCTCTCCAAATTGTAAACTATTAAAAATAAATTCGAAGAACAGCCTAATGTCAAGCACCTACCATATTTAATGGTAATTACTGCACACCACTGATTTGTTATCTGTTACCTACCAAGTATCAGAATGGTACTTTTTTGAAGAAAAATTACCATTAGCACCGAGTTCGTTGCGTGATGTCATTTATTGCTATGATCAGAAGCACAAAGTTTCATGTTTTGTAATCCCAAGAATGATATTACTAAGTTTGTTTTTTTAATATATATTCTGACAATACAAATTAATAATATATTTTTTATATTTTTTATTATTAATTTATATAAAAATTATAACATTAGTTTTATTTTTAATGTTAGTATATAATTAAATAATTAATAAAATTTAAATAAACTTTTATTATTTTCATTCAAATTAATATTAAAAACCCATCAATAATCATCTTTACTTTTCGTTAAAAATAAAAGTCTTAAATTTCAATCGTATAACATGTGAATGACATGAAATAAAATTAAAAAATAATTATTTTTTATTATGCAACAAATATCTAAAAAAATAATAAAAATATACATTATATATCCCTTAACATACAATAAAAATTAAAAATTCTTAATAAATTACTAATTTAATAAAATGAATATAATTCTTGTAGCCAGATTCACAATGCATAAACATAATCTTGCTATTAGAGATTCACATTTCTCGTAATTACTTTTTTTTTTTTTTTCAAGGCATCTCCGGGGATTAGGTGGTACAACAGCCCATAAACAAATCTAGTAGAAATATACACAAGTATCTGGTCAAAGGTCAAAATAGGAGGATAAACCATTCTCAATGATTCTACTGCTGCAGTATTTAACTCCCAAATGGAGCTTGAAAGTCAGTAGAAAGGAGCAACCTCTTTGTGGCTGCAAGGTCATCTCTAATCTCGCAAACATCAAAGGTAGATGTTTCATCAGGCTCCAAGCATCCCTGTCCAAGAAGAACCATTAGTGATTTCACATTCAAGATTGACATTCAGGGGAAAGCTTTAACACCAGTCCGATGCAGGGGAAAAACAAGAACAAGAAGGAAAAAGTAGAGGACATTCATACCGGTGTGTTAATAAAAATGCTCAACATGATAAATCATTTGTTTGGTTCTTGGGAATTATTCCAGCAGCAACTGCCACTGTTTTGGTCTTGACATCATATGATGATAGGACCTTCCTCTGAACCAAACACCGAGACCAGCTAGGTAAATATTACCAAAAAAATTATATATACTGGTTAATGGAAAAGAAGAATGCAAAAGTTAAAAAGTTGTTTCCCTCTAGCTCAAGGTGACAGAATGAATGCAAAAGCATAAGCATTCAACATGCATCCTCGAAATTTCTGTTTTTTCAACTCAAAAGCATTTTCCATCAGTCTTCCGGTCCCTAGGAATGGGAGTTTCTCCCTAATGGCTAGAGTAGCTAGTGTAAGAACATAAGATATCCCTAAGAGTCTAAGATTTAGTATTTCAATTGACTACTGAACTGAGCCAATGTCACTATTCACCTACACTTAATCCTTTGGTTTAACTTTAATTTTCCTCCTGGAATTTTTTTTTTCATTTTTCTTTTCTATTTAAATAATCAAAGTTGCAAGACAGATGAGTTGACAATGGTGAATTTTATGGTCCCAGACGCTTCACTAAAGGCAATTGAAAGGGATCCTTCAGAATGCATATCTGGTGGATAACAAGCCAATTTGGAATTTGTGGTTAGAATTTTCTTAAGGCATTTAACAGTGGATATATTCATACTTATCACTGATTAGTTATTACTCACTCCTCTTTTGTTTTCCCCTCCAACTAATGAGAAACTTGTATGCATATTGTTAAAATCAATGGAATTTGCAAAGAAAATGAAGCTTGAAATATGAAAAAAGCTTTCATGGGGAAAAGAAAATTTATATTCACAAGTTTTGATGCGCAGGTACTTACAATTGGCTCAAAATCTGGACTTGACAAGTTGACAGTGAGGTTTCTCATCAATAACAAAACCTGCGCAAATCAGCAACTGGAATCATATATACGAACTTAGATTATTTAGAACAAGGAGATCACAGGCTAAGAGAATGTTTGAGCATCATTATGGATAAAAAAAATATCATGTTAGATTCAAAATACGGTCCTGAAGTTCTAAACACTGGTTCCATTGCTGAGTAATGGGAAAGGACTCTAAAGCAAAAAAAAGTCAGATAATGACATGGATGCATTTTAATTTTGTAACAAATCACAAAGCTCTCACAAAGAGTCAACAACTTTTTTATGCCCCTAAAAGCAAATGGTAATATATTTTCACTGAGGCAGACCCCCAATACATAGCCAGGCCCTTTATACTGTAAAAGCAAATAAGAAGCAAGCAATTTGTCACCAATTATTAATTTACTATAGCATCTCCAGCACCCCAATTTATATATTTTTTTTTTCTTCAGTGTTCACAGGTCATCAGCTAGTCGCCATCTTAACAGTTTAGTGGGTCAGCATTTTCTCAGCTTTATTTTAATAACATCCACAAAATGTAATGTGAAACATGGCATTTATGCAATATAACCATTCAAACTGACAGAAAATTTTATGTAACTTACAGTTTCAAAATTAATGGGATCCATTTCTTTTAGTTTTTGGACATGGCCTTTGGTGTTTGGATCAAAGACGCTCCCAATGAAGCTATAGACTTCAGCAAAATCAGGTATGCCTGCAAAAGAGATGCAAAGTTTACCCACAACATCAAGCAAACTACATAAATAAAAACAATAGACAATGATCTAGACAATGACCATGAAGCATGGGAGCATGTTTCCCTTGCTCTGGCATCTCAGAACTCAGTACCGTCCTGCTTAAGCTTCCCATACCACTAACACTATTGTTACTAATCCTTGTTATGCCCATTGATCCAATATCAGCTGAATCAGTAATGTGGTATGCCAAAATAAGTACTGGAAAGTTTCCACTAGGACAGGCAGTCTAATAATATAAAATAATAAAACATTAAGGGAGAAAAAAAAGGAGATGGAGGGGGATGCCTTCAGCTCCATGAAGAGTTGTGAATTCATCTTGTGGTGGCATGATTTGGCTCGTTGTAGTGTTCACCAGCAAGGATGCTTCATCCCATGAAGCATATCCAGGTGAAATGGTATTCACTGAAGAAGGATAAGCAACAGACGCTTGCAAAGGCACCAAAACTGCTAATTTAAAGGCATGTCAGTATGTAACTCAATGCTGAATCAAACATAACATGAGAACTCCCTAAGAAAAACAAACCATTTTTTGATGCCTTCTGTGGGTAAGGATGAGCAGCTTTGCGCTTAGGCCGAGGAGGAGGCACATGTGCAATTGTTCCATTCTTTTGGACCTTTAAAAAGTACTTCTGGGCATGACTCCTTATCTGCAAATCAAAAACATCCATAAAACAATGACCCAAACAAAGTCAAAAAAAACCAACCCAAAAAGCTAAATCACTGTCTTTGAACCTGGATTACTGTCTTTGAACCCACAAAATCTTCAATCTTTTTCCAGTCACGGTCAAACCTAAATCAACAACAAAGTATAGGAAACCACTAGCTTAGAATTAACCCATACTACAGTTCCACTATTCTACATGAAAAATAAGTCAACAACATAACATCTAAGCCTTCAGGAGTTGAATTGCTCATAAGACTAAGAGAAAGAGAGAAGCAGTTGAAAATCATATCCAATCAATGCACAAGCCGCCAAGGAGTTGAAATTTGAAAGTAACTAGTAATGGAAGCATTTTCATCAGATTCAGCCAAAACTAAGCTGTAGAGATAGCTTACACTCAATACCCTTTTCCCCAATCCAAATATCCCACTCAAGTTTGACAGAAAAATGACCTACTCAGTTTTCTAAGTAGCTAAGCCATCAAAACACCGCAACAGAATCAAGAAAAAACAAGCATTGGGAAATTTGCCTTTTGAAATGACTAATGAGATATGAAGTAAAAAAGATATAAAACCAAATTACTCCAAAATAACAAGAAATCATATCGTCTCATGTGTGAACTCTCTGGAACCAAGCCGTTCTTCACTTGCCTTTTACAAAAAGCAAAAGAATTTAATCAAAAGTTCTTTCCTTTACAAACAAACACGGAAATAGCTTGAAAGCAGCACCGGAGAGAAGGAGAAGAGATGAGTAAAAGGAACATACAACTGAAGGGCTTCGAGGAACTTGTCGTGCTCCTCTTCAGTCCAGCTCTCACGTGACTTGGTGATGGTGTAAGGCTTCCGGACTTTCTTGCTGGACCCATCTGCCGTAGCCGTCGACGTCGACGGCTGCGGAGGATGCGGAGGCGGAGGATTTGTCGACGACGATGAGTTCATGGCAGTCTTCTCACCTGATCTCTTCCTTGTTCTGCTATCGAACCAGAAGAGTGAGTTGTAGAGAGAGACAGAGGGAAAGGCTCGGCTGTTGTGTGGCGGGTTGGAATGCTTATACGTGTGGTTTGCTTTTTCAATCCTCCGAGGCCGTTCAATTAATCGTCCGACTTTTGGGTGCTTCTACTACGGCGATTTTAGCTTTGGTCTTCGTCCTTGTCCTTATCT